TTGAGAAACATCGTCACATCAACTACAGCAAGAGGATAACTAAAAATCAAGAAACTGAACAAAATTTCAAAGACTTTATTGCTACTTAATAAATCCTGATTTTATTTGTTGAATAATCCTTGTATCGTATTAGCATGGTTACGTCTTGGATTAATAAAATGTGTTACTTTCTCTAAAAAATAGAAACTGACACTGTCTTAAAAACTTATTTAAAGCTTCTATTTAACAAACTAAATTATAACGTTTTGTTAGTTAATTTACAGAAAAACCTTGATTTGGTATTTCCAGGTTCTCTGATTTCATTGCAAGTAATTGGGTAAGAGCAGCCGAATAACTGGAGGTTCGAAAGAAAATGTTTTACAGAACAAAATCTGAATCATTTTAACTTTGACTGAAATTTAAAGGAAAGAAAGAAAAAACTTGGCACATTGTATCATACTAAATAATAAACTTATTTAAGCATTAATAAACCCAATAAAAACTGTTTAAGGCAATTGTACTTTGGCACCTTCACTGGAGTATGTATCAAACAAATGTTCCCAACAACCAAAGCAAGCTGTAATCTTTTTAAATATTACTCCTATTCCCGACTGAAAAAACCCCATTAAAATCATGTTGTTTTTTTCTTGGGGTGCTGGCACCACCCATATGAATGATGGTTACTACAAAACAAGGGAAGTTGTAATTCTGGAGCGTCATCTGACTTACCAGTGGAAATGATCGCATTTGCTTTCTATGTAACATGTGTTATCTTACATAATTTTTTCTCTTAAGATCTCTAATTGATACCCTAACTGAAAGACCTAGATACATAAGTAACTAGGGTGAGAAGAGCTTAATGACTTCATTGGCCAACATTTTACATTACGAATGCATACTCAATATGTACAAACATTTTGCAAAAATATATTAATTAATTAAGTGGGTAAGAAACATATGGTATGCTCGCATATTACACTTCACTTCTCCCCTTTATTTTTAAGCCGAACTAGTCATCTAGGCATCTTTAAAAGATAGTGTCAGTAGTTGTTGACAAAGACAACAACTACAAGCAACTCTTCATTTTTTGTACACTATTGTCGTTCAGGTACCATGAGTATACAACTAACATACACTGTAATACATGCTACTCTATCATGTAAATTCGATAACACTGTCCCCATTCCACTATTAGCAATATTAAAATCCAACAAGAAATCACATTTCAGTTCTGGATACATCAATATACTGGGACTGCTGGTAAAGCACATTAAGGGAACAGAATGCTTTGTTTCATTTCTTGGGCTATCTAAAATCACATTAGCGTTAATGAGAGCAGATAACAGTTTAGCAGTTTTAGAGAATTTGGCTACAGAATGTCAATACTATATGAAACTAAGGAAACTATAGACTTCTCATTTGGTCACAGAATGACGCCAGGGGAATGCTGCTTAGATCTTTTCAAGGTCAATAGAGACTTCATATCTTCCCAAGTATGATTGAGAAATTTAACCTGTGTGCACACTTTTCTGGTTTCAATTCTAAAACTGCTATTCTTATCCTCTGAAGTACTATTCTTAGGTTTTAAGTAGTGGTCTCAAATATGTGGCGAAGTACCAAAATATTTTCATCATAGAGAAGGAAACTTTCTCATTGCAACCCTGTCCGTTTAATTAAACCTGTGAGACTGTGTCCTAGTGCCAGAGTGTGTTGACTTGTGGTTTTCCCTTAGCAGAGCTAGCGCTTGATGTGAGTCACTCACTTGATGAGGGTAATCTGTTTAAGGCACTACCACTGCATATTTTTTCTTTCTTATGATATATTCGAGAGTCGACTTCAAACCATGTTCATGCAGAAAGTGCTACATTAAGAGTTAAATATTTCATACCCAAGTGATGTTTCATAATTTTCCCTAGGCATATTTACGAAAGAAAATATATTGATTTGTTGATGCAATTGCAAGGTTGCTTTCCCATGAAACTAGTACAGATTATCTATGTAATTGGCCAAGTTATCTGAGGAACACCTATTTCGAGTCTTTAACTCAGCCCAATGAACAGTTTTGTTTTTCACAGGCTAAAGTACATGGGTGCAAATTGGCTATAACTATATTTCAGTTCGAAGTTGCACTTTGTTCGAGAGTTCAATGACATCGATGGCTGGACCATCCAAACTTTTGTCAAACTTTTAAATGTTGGAATTTATATTTGTTTTTATCATTTATGGTATTTATCTGAGGGTTTTGCATAAACCTCTCACCCACGGAGTTTTAGCCCAAATCAGGTTAAGATGTCCTAAACTTCGGAGGTGCAGTGTAGTAAGCCTCTACAGTGATTCCTACAAGCTCAGTCTTGATATGAATAGCGTTTTGATCAAGACGTTGGGTATTGCATACCCACATGGCTTGATGAACCCTGGTATTAAGCTTTTTATGATGTAATAAACTAAAGGTTGTTTCTAATATACCTACAATGTACAAGATCCTTACTTATTTTGCGGTATTTATCTCCATTAAAAACAGAGCGAAACAGCAGAAGGACAATAAAGAAAAACAAAACATTTGTCTATTAATTGTCTTATTAACTAAGAATGCTTAGATGGTAGGTACTTACTAATTGGGAGCTCCAGATTGATACTGGCAGCTAAAGGAAGACAAATAAGACAAAAACCAACTTACAATGACTAAAATTTAACCAATTTCTTGTTTTCAACTAATTCACATATTAAAGTGTGTAGAAGGATTCTGTTATAAATTCATATGTACATTATAAACTTGAAATAAAACTAGTTCCTTAGCCATTTCTTACAGAACCAATTCCATTAGAAACAAAACTTTAATTAACGAAAGGATATATGGATATATTTATATAAAATTCATAAAGACAATTACCTGAGAGATAAATCTTTAACGTTTTTTCATATCAAATTATATTTTATATCGACCTCTGCCCTTCCAATTTTATATAGTAAAGCCTCATAGATTACTTTTTCGTCTAAACTAAACCATTTTTTTTATTCTTAGTTTGGAAAATGTAAGACGAATCAAATGGTTTAATATTTTTTACATTAAGATTGTTAAGTTAGTTGGTACACAAATTCATACCAAATATTAATTTCTTTTGGGTACTAAAGTTAGTTCCAGTCACTTGCACATATATTTCAGTATCATATGCATTGACGATTTTCGATTAATAGTTTAATATTCATTCTGCAAATGTAATAAATAAATGTTTATAATAAGTATCGTTAATCTAGTTATATATAATTGTGGTAATTACTTTTCCCTGACGTTTATCTTTCATGTTGAACAACTTTTCCAAAAATGATAAATTTAGCTCCGTGTTTCTAATTAAAAATGTATAATGTTAACATGTTTCTATGAATTACTTAAACTTTACTACTTCTAGTTATAGATGCACATCTTTTTAATCACTTTATATCTATTAATGCGATTTTGTTTATGTTTTGTATATTATTTTCTTTATTTTAACAGTGAATGTTTTACAAAACTGCCAATAAGTCTATAATTATCAAAATTGAAAACTTTTTTGTTGTAGGCTCGATTTGTCCTAAGAGTTAGAGTATATTAAGTTATGAAGTCAGTGGATCCTGGTTCGCAATTCTTACAAATTTACTATTCGCACCATGGCTCAGTTAGTGCGCGTTATAGGACTGGCTGTGAAATCCTACTATTTGTTTAATTTGTTTGTTTTGTGTGATTTCGCGCAAAGCTACGCAAGGGCTATCTGCTCTTGCCGACCCTAATTTTGAAGTAATAGAGTAGAGGGAAGACAGCTTGGACTACCATTGTCAAACCGAATGTAAGGATTTCACTGTCACTCGCATAATTCACCCACGACCCCCAATTAAAGAGCGCAATTTGTTTTTCGCTGATAACAGGCCACGAACCACGGAACATCAGCTCCACCTTCCTGTATGCTAACCACTAACATACCGTTTAGCCACTGGGGAGCATAGCTGCGCTTAACTACAAACGAACAAAACAAAATGTGTATATTTATTCAAATAAACAAGCGAGTGATTCTTTTCTCTATGCAGAAACTCCAGTATCCACTAAAACCTATTAAGTATAAAACTATTTATTGTAGCGTTTTGTAAGCACTATTTGTATGTTAATATGTAATAGCAAAAATTGTGCTTATACACATAACTCGTATACGTAATAAGTACGGTTTATTAAACAAAATAGTTTTAGCCCTAATTGCACAGAAAAGAAGTACGTGTATACTGAAACATTGAGATAAAACAACCAAATTACATCAAAACTTATATATATATAATGGCTCTCTCATAACAAGAAGCTAGGTGGCGGCAGTGTTCCTCGGAGCATCAAAGCCAGCTCGTGCATTGGCTTGGTCGGTCACATGTGTTCTTGCTTAGAGTTTCAACGGACATTATACGATACTACTGTCCTTAGACATTGTATAATGTTTTAATATATTTAGATATATAATATATCCTTCATATAATTTAATACATATATATATACATATATGTAATTGTATAAATTCGTGTTTACAGTCGTCTTAGTTTTAATCTTACATTAGTATAGCTGCGTTACTGAACTATTTTTATTTCAAGCTTCTTAAATTTTCTTTAAACCCGAAGTCAAAGTTAAAGGGGATATAAGTCAGTACGAGTGAGATATTCAAATACAATAAATCAAATTTGTTGAGGTTTCTATCTTTTTCAATGGCAAACATAACAGATGTCACGGACTGTCTGCCTGTTGATATCCTAAGTTTCAATTTTTCAGAATTTGAATACTCAGGGCCAAAACAATTTTCCCGTGAAAGTTTAACATGGAAAGAAAAGTTAAAGATAACGTTTTACGTTGTCATTATGAGCATGTCATTGATTGGAAATACCGTGGTTATTTTGACTGTTTCTTGCAATCGTGCCATGAGGAACACTATCAATTTTTATTTAGTCAACCTGGCTGTTGCTGACATACTGATCTCAATTTTCTGTATGTGGGTTCACTTGGTCAACAACTTAACTCAGCCTCTATTTGTTCTTGGACCTGTAATGTGCAAAATTAATGGCTTCACTCAAAGTAAGTATTTTTCAGTATTACTATTAGCAATTTAGCAATATTTAACAGAAAAAAATTGCTAGCTGTTTTGTTGTTCTAGTTGACGTTTTCTAAACTTTAATATATTTATATCTGTCATGTGAAAAACTGCTCTGTCTGCAACTAACTTTATTTATTTTATTGAAATATTACGTTAAATGTTTGATAAAATAGAAATTGTATTTAAAAACTAACTTATATTACAAGGATTTCTCATTCCTTCTTCTTAAGATATGAGTGTGCGTTTCAAAGTTATGATTCGGTTCCAAAATGTATTAATATTATTAGATTGCTTCTTTTGTATATATCAAGATAATATATATATATTTATGTCATCTTATGAAAACGTCTTTGATGCATATATCGCATAATTGTCCTTACGTCTTTCCGATATGAAATGTTATGTGAAAAATCACAATGTGACTATCCACATTACTATATTTTCCTTTGTAATTAATAAAAACAAAACTAACTTAATCTTACACATTATTTCTGCTTTAATTCTTATGGAAAGAACTTTCTCACTTGAAACTGCAAGTGACTTGAAAAAGTATCAGCTCATTTTGAAGTTTTTTAAACAGTTGTTGTAAGTAAAATATAACAAGATTGATTGTTTTTATAATCTCCAAAAGATATCATAATGAAAATAATTGGAAAAAATGTGTAAAATTTTCACTTTCTTGAAAAGTGAATCTGAGTTTTTTTTTCAATTCATTCTACAACACGTTTAAAATATAGCTACGTTTAACTAATCACATCGCAGTAAAATAACCGTATTCAAATTCAATATTGTACTATTAAAAGTTAAAATTGACAGTTTATGTTAAATAAAGCATTTTGACAACTTAAAATTAGTTATAACATATTTCTTATGAACTAAATAGACAGCTAAACAAATTTTAAATTAGTGAGATGCTCATAGTAAGTAGGCTAATGCTAATTTAAATGGCAAAACGTTTTAATCTGTTCAGAGAAAAAATAACTTATACAGCTAAAACCTTAGGAATAACACTTTATATAGCAAAAGATAAAAGTCAATTTATGCCTTTCATATACATAAAAACGTAGAAATGTTTTATTCATATACGCATTTCGTTTAAATGCGAAATGAAACTGTGGAATAAATTAAATAGAGAATCTGTAGGTATTGTACACAGACTTCTACCTTTTATATTACGTGAAGTAAATTTGGTTGTTTTTTGTTAAGCACAAACCGACACAATGGGCTATTTATACTGTACCCATCGGGTACTGAAACACCATTTCTAGCGTTATAAGCCCACAAATTTACCGCTGAGCCAGCGACGGAGGAGGCATTAAGTAAATGTGTTTGGTAATATACAGAGCCGATGCAGTAAGGTATAAAACTAACGGTTGAAGCATAAGGTATAGAATGTAAAACATAATGTTAACTTTATTTTAAAAGCAAATACAAATGAAATAATAAAATTAGTTGCCTTAATACTTAAAGCCCATAACAGAGTCAGCATTTATTTATCAAATACTCTGTTCACAGATTGTCAAATTCCACTGTTTAGTGTTCGCAAACTAACATTCTTACGTACAATAATTGTTGAATTTACATAAGCAGGTTTATTTTGAGTAACATCAATTACTTAGCAAATTTCTTTTTATTTTCTAAAATTTCAAAATTGGGTAAATATTTTATCGAGTTCACAATTGTAGTCCATTAAATGAAAGTATTAATATTTTCAGTGTCTTAACTTCGTTTCTAGAACTGACATTTTCTAATTTTGAAGACTGCTTGTATGCTAGAGACAAATGTATTTATATATATTACATAATTGTAAAAATAAAGAGCTTGTTTGTAAACAATTTGTCTTAACTTCATTTAATATGATCTTAACATAATTATTGGTGCTCTTAAGTAGCTATGCGATGACTTTACAAAAATAATTTACAACCTACAGTTCACAGTTGCCTTATAATTCATTCTAGAAGTGTAATTTAATCCTGATAAAGAAGCATCATGATAACTTATATATACTGTCATATTAACAAGCAACATGATAATTTATACATACTGTCAGATTACAAGTGTTTTTATTGGACAAAACGTTTAGCTTCTACCAGTGGAAAACAGGAAAATTATTTCTTATACTGAATTCTTGCGTTTCAATATCAATTTTGTAACAGCATTAAAATGTCAGTTGTTATTTAAACAAACTTCGAGCTTGGTCTGGCACATTAAATGATGAAAATGTTCTAACATAGCTTAATTATTTTTTCATAGATATATACATATATACAACTATTTTTTTTGTTGTTTTTATATATATAATGGAGCCAAATGTTGAAATGATAACATTATGAAATTCATCCATACTCTTGAATTCAAAATAACTATTAAAATATGACAACAATGAATTATGGATCTGAAAAAGTTTAGTATTATTTTCAGCTTCTGATAATGAATTTTTTTTCTTATGAACAACATATGAATGTTCAAGGAGTGAGAATGCTACTCGGTTTGAATTAATTTCCTGAAATAAGAAAGTAAAACTGTAATACTTTTGATTATTATATTTCACAATTTTTTACGAACATACTGAGAGTACTGTGAATACATATGCAGTTAACATGCCAATACAATACTTAGAATTACATGAAAAGTGACGTGTCTAATTAATTGTTATTGTGGCAACTACAGGCAACGTTATCTTCAATTTATTTAGCAATTGAACATGAAAAGCAGATTCCTGTACCAATTTTGCTGATCCATTTTCACTTCTGAAAGGTTTTTGCCCCTTGTTTTCATAGATGGAAAAAATGAGTTTCGTTTATTGGAGTATTTATCGTGATTGTTTAGACACCGCGTGCTGATTTGATATTTCGGGGTGAGGGGAAGGGAGTAGAGATGATGATGTCATAGTTCTACGAAGTGGAACCAAAGGGCGCGTTGCTCGGTCGCCATGAAAACGGAAGTTGTCCAGAAAGCGTGTTGCTAGTTCTAGATGGTGTGTTTCTAGACTGCCATGAGTGACACCATAGGGCGCTACTATATTAGGGCCACGAAATATCACCACAGGGCTCGACTATCTTAGGGATGAGTGGTATCATAGTTTAATACCTATAGGCAGACAGTGTTACTAAGGTTTTATACAGAGGGCCTGTTACTATACGTGGGCAGTGTTACTATGGTTCTATTGGTGGTTACTGTCACTATAGGCAGATGATGTTACTATGGTTTCTATAAGTTGACGGTGTTACTAAGGGAAGTGTTTATATAGGTGGACACTGTTACTAAGGTTTTATAGGTGGATAATGTTACTATAAGCAAATGTCGTTTGCTGAGGCTTTTATAAGCGCATGGTGTTACTAGGTGGATTATGTGTTTTTTACAACGGTGGATAGTTCTGTAGGATTGCATACAGATTTCAACTTATTTTTTAATTTTCATTTATATATTACAAAGGCACTGTTTCTGTAGGCAGATAGTGTTACTAAGCTTCTATAGGAGGATGGTCTCACTAGGCATATTGTATGTGTCTTACAAAGGTGTAAGTTGTTATTAAGGATCTATATTTGCATTGTGTTGCTAAGGGCAAGGTGTTTTTCAACGTGTCTCAACTTGTAATCGATGTCTAGATTTATTTATATGTCCAATAACCCTTAATTTGTAGTTTTCATGTACATATGTTTTATAAAGGTCGATGGTGTTACTATGTTTATAGTTTTAATTTTATATTACATGTATTTCTATAGAAGGATAGTGTTATTGCTGTAAAGCTTTTATCATATCCAATGTTTTTTATAAATATTGAACGAGAAAGCCTACTGTATTTTTATGATTTAATGTACTGCTTGTAGTTCTCACTTCCATATCTTATCATATTTTTGCATTTCCTCACGTTTTATATGTAAAACGTTTTAATTTGTATAATTAACATATAACATCCTAAAGAGGATGATTATTTAAATCTCATGCTTAGCTATAAATTGATCACGAAAGTTTAAATGATCTACATAAATAACAATTACTATTGCTACCCCTTTGTCGAGAGCTTGCTGACTGAAGCTAACAGCATATAGGCGTTCTATCTCCTTTTATCTGAAGGTCATTAACTTAACCATTTTGCTACAACGAAATATAATAAATGAATGACTTACTATTTAACCTATTTTACTATTACTATTATAGAAAGTATATAAAATAGCAACACTTACAATTTTCTATAAAACATTCACTTGAAGTACAAAACATACTATACAATTAAAATTCATAAAACAGATACACTCAAACTTTCTTCTTTAATAGATGTTTAGAGATATCTGACGTCTTGTATTCAACTAGATTCAAGACACTGCCAAGATCGATAAACTTTGATTGTTGGAAACCACAAAGGTAGTCACATGACAAATCTTCTCTTAAATCCTGCCTGGAAATTGAATGTTTTGTAACATACCACCCCTACCCCTGCAAGCATGTATATAATACTAGTTTGTGAGGATATGTACGAGTCATGACACCTCAAATGTATATATCTGTTGATAAATCAGTAATTCTATTTCCGTATCTTTTAAAACAGTTTATGTACATTATAACAAAGTTATTAGGTAACACGAATGAACTTAGTTTACAAATGATATAATGCAATTTTTGTATTTCAACAATTGGTCAAACGTTCGGACTGTGTCAATCGGCTTAGAATATTTTTCAAAATGGAAGATAACTTTACTATGATAGATTCAGTTCTCTTTTAATATCCATGATTTCTTCTTAAACCTAAAACTATATAAACATGTAAAATGTATGAGATTTACAATTTAATTATACAACAATTTTTTTTAAACTGATATAAATTTTGGGAACAATGTTATGGTAACATGTATTATCTTTCTCACCAAAAAATCAGAACAAAACTTCATTTTATGTACACTATAACTTTTAAATTTATTAGTTTACGAAAGCATAAAATAATTTTTTTACCAACGAACAAGTTGACAATTGTAATCGTAAA